TATAAAATGTCTCATAAACAAGGATTATACAACTTGATGGTTGCCTATAAAATGTCTCATAAACAAGGATTATACAACTTGATGGTTGCCTATAAAATGTCTCATTTCTTTTATAAAATATATAACGAATTACATAATTATCACCAAATACAAAATAATCTAGTAATCGAGCAAGATTATGTTAAAATGCCACAGCTTGAGGTACAGGTTTTGAGAGGAGGGGGGGGGCACAAGTTTTTCCTGGCCACCTACACTACTTTATGAATAGTTTAAAAGTTTAAAAAAGTGTGTTCAAATAGTCAATTTACACTTACTTAATTCAATAAATTCTATATAAATTTGAAAGCTACATAACATAAATTTACCAGCTGATGTACTTAAAACTAAATGTAGTTCATAAAAAAAATCTAAACTTAAAAACTAATGTTATACACTTTTTTCCAGGATATTTAATAAATATATAAAAAAATTAATAATACCTTTTTTTTTCACATAAAATGAATTACAAAAATAAATTTCATTTACACCTTCAAAAAATATAGTTTTATTTATTAAAATATATAAAAGTAATATTTCAGTTATTCAGAGCAGTTCTGGTTCTTCCATAGAGAGGAAATTTATTTAAAGAACTTTGTGTGTGAGATATAATGTTTGATATAACAAACACTAGTGTGTTTGGATGTATGCGTCATACACTTACAAAAGAATGGGCAGATAGAAAAAAGGGGAAAAAATAATAATAAAACTTACAGCTGCCTTTTTTCCATCATCCATTGATGGTGTTAGAAGATCATGTATTTTTTCATTGTAGATTTCAAAGTAACTTATTTCTACCATGTATTCTGTCTGAAAAAAAAACAGTAGACAATAAACAAAAATGTTTAAGCTAAAAAGAAAAACGATACACTTTCGACCATACTATAATGATAAAGTGTTACAAGTTTGATCTTCTCCCAACTGCACTTTGTTCAGCTGGTATTTTTATTAAATAGGCAAACAGTACAGCTTTATATATTACTAATATTAAGCAGAGTTTAATGAAAAATTCAAAATAAAAAGTAAAACCGACAAAGATGAGCTGTCTAAATTATATTTCATTTTACAAGACCATGGTAAAATATCCAAAAATAATTTCATTGATATACAATGTGACTGAATTAATTTTAAAAAAGCAGAGTAATACATTTTGTTGATCATTTACAGACATTCTACGCAATTTCATTCATGAGTCATATCTATATGGATCTTCTCGAGCTTCATCGACGACATTTCAGTTTCAGGTTTATATAGATATACTTGAAATTTGCATTCGGTGACAGATAGAAACTTTTTTATATGTATTTATTCGAACTATTAAAATTAATATCTTGAATAAGGGAGCTACTCCTCTTCTCACGTTATCTTAAGTTATTTTTTCCTAAAAGTTTCTCTCGTGTTTGTGTTATTTTTATTTAAGTACCAAGCATCATGTAAATATATCTAATACTTTCTATTTCTAAACAAAAAAAAAAACTTTAAAATTCTGTTTTAAGTTCAATAAAATAAACGAGTTGTATAATTTGAGGTTCAATTTGAAAATAAATAAAGCCTAAAACTAGGAAAGTGTAACACCTACTTACGCATCTACCCCATCCAGATGAAGTATTATTTACTTTAAATTAATAATATACTGACTGAAAAAAAACAAATTGTGTTCTTTTCAAAGAATGACTTACTGACTGTTCCACAGAGTTATGAATCCTGTCAAATAAATGTTG